CGGGTCAAAGTCTTCAGCTTCCAAAAATTCTAGCAAAATTTTCTGAGTGTGCTCTGAAGAGGAAGAGGATAAGCTGATGTACTCATCCATCTGGTCCTAGCCTTCTTCATATATTAGAGAGGCATGTGTAGCGAGGGGGTGACATCAACTAAAGAATCGGGCTAAACGTTTGGTGTCGAGGAGGAAAATGTGTTGCCACCTGTGGGTGTTGATTTGCGTAAGAGCTCTTCAAGAAAAGGTGGTAAGTCTTTAGTGGTAACTGGTAGTAGTTCCTTGAAGAAAGCATTCAGTTGTGTATCTCTAGCCTTGACATAATTGAAGAAGATCTGTATTTGACCTTCCAAGTGTTTTAGTCGTTACCTTGCCTTTCGAGTGTTTGTGATCACAGCCACCATTCTCGCTGCAGCTACATATTTGGCACTTCATTCTAATCCCTCACCCTGAGCATTATCATCAAAACTCATGAGCTCTGGCACCTTATTCTTGGTGATACCCTCTTTTGATTTTATAAACTACTCCAAGGGTTCTTCAGGGACCATTTTCTTCCTGCATAAAGCAATTTTTAAGTTGGGCAAAAGTAAGTTACCTCTAGCCAGCTTCACACACTCGTGGACCTGATCAAAAATAATTTCCCCTACATTAATGGATAGTTCATAGATGATGGAATGTAACAACATCAATCGATGTAGCATAATTATGGTCTTGTGCGATGTGGGCATCAGCTTGCCCTTCAAGAAGTGATTCTACAGTTTTGTGACCAATTTAAAGGTGCGACGATTAAAACACTTCTAGTTGGGGCCGTTCCCCTCAAACTTTGCCCAGTTAAAACATAAGTCCTCTAACACACTATCGCAAGTTTCAGAATCTACCGCGATAAGAAATGTCTTATGTTGATTTCCAAATTTGTTGAGCTTAAAATATCGGTTGATGAAAGAGGGAGTGAACGATATGAACTTCCCTTGAACATAGACAGAGTGTTGGGACGGGTCTCCCAGATGCGCATAAAACTCTTGGACCATTGATGGCACCACCGCCTTTGGGTGTTGAGCAAATTTTTCCCAATTATGTTTCCGGACAATGTCCATCACCTCGGGCCCAAAAGGTTCCTCATCTACCTCCAGGAATACAAAGTCGTTTTCTAGATTAACTTGGCATTTCTAGAATGCCTTAAATTTGTTCTCGGTCTCAGCACTTTAGAAGAGCTGAAAACTTTTTACAGTAGCAGACAATGTAGAAGCACTAGAGTTTGACTTAGAACTAGATATGTTAGCTTGGTGAAATATTGAATGGAAAGAGAGAAGATTTTGAACCAGAGTTTATTGAGGTTTTAGGTGAAAGAGGGAAAAACTAAAGATGAAGATGAAGAGTGAATGAAACTGGAACGGTGAGAGAGAGTAAAGTAAGTGGTTTTGGAGAAAAAATTGGGTACTGGGCGGTTTCTTAGGCGTAGAAAGTTAAAAAGCAAAACAAAAAAGATATGATAATTAATGCTGAAGATTTGTGATGTGAAAAAGAAATAATAAAATAATAGAGGAAAAGATTATCCCTCTTAAAAAGGTCGTCGAATTATTTTTAAGGTTTGCTTCCTTCCATGTATGAGCTTGAATCCTAAGCTGCCAAGTGTCAAACAATCACTAAAAGATAATATTAGAGAATAAAATAAAAATAAAGAACTCATGCAGAATAAAGTAAAGAATAAATATTTATGTACAGAATGCAAATTATGTTGCCTAGACAACAAAATTTGTTCAAGCAAGAGGAGCAAACTCTTGGGTGTCGTGGAGTAATGATATCATTTTATCATGCAGGATTGGTGCTCCGTTGTATGCCTTCAGTCTTTGACCATTCACTTTAAAATTAGTCCCATCATCCACGTTTGTGACTTCAATTGCACCGTGGCTATGCACTTGATATACCATGAAAGGCCCTGACCACCTGGACTTCAACTTACATGGGAACAACTTGAGCCTTGAATTATAAAGCAATACTTGTTGCCCAAAAATATTTTAAAAATTGTCAAGGCAAAATTTTGTATCTTGCCACTTCTTCATCTTTTCTTTGTAAAGACAACCATTCTCATACGCCTGAGCTCTAAATTCGTCAATCTTATTTAGCTCCAACATTCGCCTTTCTCCAGCAAGTTACACATCTATATTAAGTTTCTTGATGGCTCAGTATGCCTTGTGTTCTAGTTCCATGGTCAAATAACATGCGTTGCCATAAACTAACTTGAATAGAGATATCCCGAACAACGTTTTAAATGTCATGTGATATGCCCACATTGCCTCATCGAGCTTTGGTGACCAATCTTTTTTATTTTGAGTTAACCACCTTCTCAGGTGTTTGATTTATTCTGCGATTAGAGACTTCAGCCTGCCCATTAGTCTGGGGATGGTAGACTGTGGCAATTTTATAGTGCACCTCGTATCTTTGTAGTGCCTTGGCAATTAATTTATTATCGAAGTGAGTGCCTCCATCGCTGATAATTGCTCATGGTGCTCCAAAATGTGTGAATATATTTTTGTGCAGGAACTTCAGTACTGTCTTGGAGTCATTTCAAGGTGTTTCCATGGCTTCAACCTATTTGGACATATATTCCTCCGCCAGGAGTATGTATAAATCACCAAAGGATGATGGGAAGGGTCCCATAAAATTAATTCCCCATACATCGAAGAGTTCAACTTCCAAAATATTTTTCCATGGCATATCATTCCTCTTCGATATATTCCATGTACGTTGGAAATGATCACATGACTTATAGAAATCATGCACATCCTTGAATAAGGTAGGCCAGTAAAAGCCAGATTAGAGGACCTTTGCAGTAGTCCTTATCCCACCAAAGTACCCTCCACACATGGATGTATGAAAATGATATAGGATCTCCTTGGGTTCTTCTTAGGGGACACACCTCTGGACTATTTAGTCTCCATATTATTTGAATAAGAATGGTTCATCCCAATAATAATGGCGTACATCATGTATGAACGTTTTCCTGCCCTGTCTAGATAAATCTATAGGAATAATACCACTATCAAGAATGTTAACTATGTCAGCGTACCATGGTACTCCCACAACAAATAAAATTTTCTCGTCAAGAAAATCCTCCTGAATATCATTCATGTCATGGCAAATATTTTTTTCTCTAGCCTAGACAAGTGATCTGCTACTTGGTTTTCAATACCCTTCTTATCCTTCACCTCGAAATCAAATTCTTGCAGTAAGAGTATCCATCTAATAAGCCTAGACTTTGCATCCTTTTTATTTACTAGGTACTTAGTGCAAAATGATATGTATGTACAATGACCTTAGTTTCTATAAGGTATGCTCTAAATTTATCAAAAGTGAATACTACGACAAGCAATCCTTTTTCAGTGATGGTGTAATTAAGTTGTGCACCATTAAGGGTACGACTAACATAATTGATGAAGTGAAATATTTTACCTTTTCTTTGCCCAAGCACTGTCCATATAACGTAGTCACTAGCATCGAACATCAACTCGAACGGGGCATCCCAATCAGGTGGAACAACAATTGGTGCCGAAACAAGTTTTTTTTCATATCAGTTAAGGAGTTGAGACAGTCATCATTGAACAAAAACGATTGATTTTGTTGAAGAAACAGACACAAAGGCTTTGAAATCTTCAAAAAATCCTTGATGAAACGCTTATAAAATCCTACATGCCCTAGGAAACTCCTGATGCCCTTTACGGTAGTAGGTGGAGGCAGATTCTCAATTACTTCCACATTGGCTTTGTCAACCTTGATGCATTGGCGAGAAATTTTGTGTCCCAAACATAATTCCTTCTGTCACCATAAAGTGACATTTCTCCCAGTTTAGCACAAGGTTGGACTCCTCACATCACTTCAGCACATTAGATAAATTAACGAGGCATCAGTTAAAGTTATTGCCTGAGACAGAAAAATTATCCATAAATATTTGCAGGAAGTCCTCCACCATATCTGAGAAAATGGCCACCATACATCTCTGTAAAGTTGTCGGGGCATTACATAGTCTGAACGACATCCTCCTAAAGGTATAGGTGCCATATGGGCAGGTGAAGGTGGTATTCTCCGCATCTTCAGGTGCTATGACGATCTGATTATACCTAAAATACCCGTCAATGAAACAGTAAAATGCCTTGCCTGCTAACCAATCAAGTATCTGATCGATGAAAGGAATGGTGAAATGGTCTTTCTTTGTCGCCTAGTTGAGCTTTCTATAATCCATACAAATTCGCCAACCCGTAACAGTTCTTGAATTCAAAAGCTTATCATTTTCGTTCTTTACCATTGTCACGCCACTTTTTTTTGGCACACATTGAAATAGACTGACCCAAGAGCTATTGGATATGGGTTCTACACAATTTTTATGGAAATCTTCTAGCTGGATTTTGTGTATGCATATTGTAGGGTTGATTCCCTTCAAGTCTACCATAGTCTACCTGAGAGCTTTTTTCTGCTATAACAAAACATTCAACAAACTACCCTCTTGCTCGGGGATAGACTAGCATAAATTATAACTGGTTAAGTATCGTCACTACCTAAATTAGCATATTTCGAATGTGATGGCAAAGGTTTAAGTTCTAAGGTAAGTGAATGTTGTAACGAAGGTTTTGGAGGAACAAATTCATTAAAGTAAAGAGATTCAAATCTCTTACCTGGTCTAGCTTGAAGTAAGCTAGATTGTTCCACCTTCAGTAAATAATCCTCGGACTCTTCATTTGTTCTATCTTCAGTAAATCCTACGTTTGCCTCAATCGAAAAAAATTTGCCTAGGCAAATATTTTTACCTACCTCATTCTGAACAAATTCTCCTAGGCCAAAATTATTGTTTCTATTTGGCTGAAAAATATCATCGGGGCAAAAATTTTACACTCCTTTATCTGAGCAATGTTATCTTTGCATAGAGTATCATATTCGTTTAAGTGTAAAATTTTGCCTTGGTCAAAAAATTATGTCCCATCTTCTTCATGTGGCTCCATGTCTCCAATGCAATAGCATTATTCAAAATCATCAATATATTTAAGAGTGTTGAAGACATTTATAGTGACGCTTTGATCAGTCACCCTAATCGTAAACTCTCCTTTCTCGCAATCTATTAAGAGGTGCCCAGTGATTAAGAAAGGAAGCCCAAGAATAATAGGTGCATTTTCATTGGTCTCACAGTCTAAAATAAGGAAATCTACTAGAAAGATAAACTTGTCCTCTTTAACTATCATATCTTCAATTTCACCCTCGGGATGAACATGTGATCGATCAGTCAGTTGCAAAATCACGTTGGTTGGTTGAGCATTACTCATTTGAAGTTTCAAAAATATGGACTTGGGCATCAGGTTTACGTATGACCCCAAGTCACAAAGGGCTCTCCCAACATGATTATCACTGATAGAGGATGGTTTAACAAAACTTCCAGGATATTTTTGCTTCGGCGGAAGTTTACTTAGTGCCAAACAATATTTTGTTGTTGTGGTAACATTTTCTAATATTTCCACCTTTCTCTTATTCGTGACAATATCCTTCAAGAACTTGGTGTAAGGAGGCATCTGATCAATAGCTTCGAGCAGTGGGACATTGATATACAGTTTATCAAGGACATCAACAAACTTTTTGAGATGGATGTCGTCATTATGCTTCTTCAACCGCTGAGGGAAAGGCGGCGTGGCCTTGATTTCATTTGTTGTAGATGGGGTAAAACTTTTGCCTTGGTAATAAATTTTCCCCCTCACTAGGTTGACTTATTGACCCCTCGTCCCTTTCCTTCTCCTCAAGCAAGTCTTCTTGTTCAGCATGTTTAGCTTGACCTTCTGGTTCTTCATGTATAATGCCTTGGCGAGAAATTTCTCACTTCTTTCCCCAAACTTATCATCGATATTAATTTGGGTACCACTCCTAAGTGTAAGCGCACTGCATTGCTCCTTTCCATGAGGCTTAGTGACCTCAGTATCACCAGGGAGACTTCCTTACGGGTGAGAATGAACTGTTGTGGAAATTTAGCCCACTTGATTCTCCAACGCTCTCAATGATGAACTATGGCTTTGTAATAGAGCTACTTGGCTTTGTAACAAAGCGCATTGATTCTTAATTATCGATGAGTGTTCATGTATTAATGTTTTTGTTGAAGCCATGAAATCTTTTGTCGAGGCCATAAATTCCTGTAGTGAAGCTTTGAGGGAGTTAGAATTTGAGGAATATGCATTACCTTTATTATTATTTTGTAAGGGCATATGTTGATGCTAGAAACTTGAATGTTCAGAGGCATTTTGTTGTGGCCTATTAAAGTTGCCTACATAGTTTTTATTGTTCCCTTGATTACCCCATGAAAAATTTGGATGCTGTCACCATCCAGGATTGTATGTATAAGAGTAGGGGTTATTGTTGATTCCATTAAAATTGCCCACGAAATTGATGGATTCCTGGTTTTTTGGGCATTTACTCTCATGATGGTTGCAACGACAAAGAAGTTGCTGAGTTAGTTTCCTTAATTTATTTCACCTCAATTAAACGCTGTAAATTTTTTAGCATGTTTGTTATGGCAGAAAGTTGGGCAGAAATTGAATCCTTACCGTCAAGTTCATACGCCTTAGATATTTTCCTACCAGTTCCAATCCTTGTAGGCAGGAATTGATAGTCGTTGTTAGTTATCCGATCAAGAATATCAAAGGCTTCCTTGGGTGATTTGTCAAGAAAAATGTCATTCCCTGAAGCATCCAACATCATACGACTAGGTGCGTTGACTCCATTATAGAACATGAATACTTGAGTCCAGTCATGGAATCCTTAGTTGGATCATTTACGAAGTAAACTTTTACATATGTCCCAGTACTCACACATAGATTCATCATCACCTTGGCGAAAACTTGAAGTGTTATTGCGAAGCTAGGTGTGTATATTTGGCGGGTTATATCAAAGAAGAAAATTATTACATAAGTCAGCCCAAGATTCCATTGAGCTGGATGGGACTCCACTCAACAAAGCTCTTGCTAAGTCACGTAAACAGTAGAGGAATAATTTTAGTTTCAACATGTCCTCGTGCACACCTTGTTGCCTAAACAAGTCACACACTTCAAGGAAAGCAAACACATGATGTCTAGCATCTTCATTAGGCAAGCCACCAAACTGACTGATAAAATTAAGCATGTTGAAAATCACCAATTTGAGTTCAAAGTGAGTTTCTTGTATTTCCGGTGCCACTATTCCAGGGTTGAGATCATCAAGAATTATATTTAAGTGATCTCGTATAGTTAGTGGTCTTCTAGCATTTTAGGGAATATTTTTTGTCGCGACATCGGGATCTATCTGATCTTCAACAGGGTTATTAGCCTGAAACTATAGTCGAATCATATATCCTCTGGCACGATGAGCACGTCACCTTTGTCTGAATAATTGCTCGATCTCAGGGTCAAATGGTATTAATGGTTCGTCAATAGATCTCCTGCTCATTCAACAACAAAAACCTACAAAATAAAATAATAAAACAAACAAGTAAAACTAAAATAAAGAAAATGTGACAAGAAAAAGTTGCTATGGAAAAAATTATCAAAATTCCTCCAGATGACAATCCTGACAATGGCGCCAAAAACTTGATTGCGTGTAAATATGTGTTGTGGCACGAAAATCTATGCAAGTATACATAATCGATGCAAGTAATATAGTAGTAAATGAGTTATCATCTCTACATGTATTGTTGGGAATTTTTTATGTTTGCTACAACTAGAACTAAGTGTCACTAGTTAGTTCTAAGATTCTTATCTAAAAGAAAAGAAAGCAATAACAAATGATGTAAACAGAATGAAAAGTATTGTTGAGCCGAGAAAAATTATAAAGTAAAGTGAGCAGAAAAGTTTGGTCGAGGCAATAAAGAGATGCAAAGGTAACAAATAAAAGTTGTCAAAGCAAATAAAAATGTTGAGTTTACGATAATATGAAAAACCTCACACATTCAAAATTTTTATGGAGCAATTGGGTTGGATTTGATATGGCGAGAAGTTATTATATGTCTAGGATGATTTAGTGTGCTATGCGTATGCTGCCCGACAGGATTTACTAGAGTGTTCCTAGGTTTGTCAAACTGTTGCTGTGGTAATACTCCTCAACGTAAAATGCAACTTTTAGCATATCATACTCAAGCATTCACCCTTTTAGTCGAATGAAACCCTCCCTATATCTCTAAGGCAGATTAGACCCTCACTATCCCGTATTAGTTCCATTGTCTACGTAGATCTAACTTAACTCTCTCAATATCAGGTATCAACTTCTAGAAAAATGACAATCTCTCAAAAGCTCTTACAAAGACTAGGTATGTTTTGCCGAAGCACCAGACAATTTCTCAAAAGCACTCACATTGTCAAGGCAAAATATTAAAACAATGAACAAAACAACACTTAGCATAAGTAAACAATATCAATCATTAGCAATGAAATAAAGTATCAATAAAGCAACATCCAATACCAAATAAAATAGTTTATGGTGTGGTAAATATCATCCCAAAATCAATCTTTAAGTGATATGGAAATAAAGAACAAAGGAGGAAAAATCCCAAAAAAGAGCTTTGATGTGACATTTGAACCACCATCATGACTTCTATGGTGACCAGCCTCTCTCAAGGGCCTGACCTCCGGTCCAATGATGCCTAGCTATGGAGGGCACTAAGGACGGTCGAGTAGGGGATGGTGGAAAAGTGAAGTATTGCAACTGCTTAATCTAAGCCTATGGTATTTTCTTTCCTCTTTTAAAAATCTCCTTTATGAAGAGATAAAAAAGGGTTATTTATAGTGGGAATTTCTAGAATTTAGTCCTCTTGGAAATCCCATAAATACCCTTAGTTTCAACCCCTTTGCGTGAATAAAAAAACAGTCGGTAGTGGTCTCAAATTCCTTTATTAGGGCATGATTTCACGTGAGATCGATTGGACAATTGACCAAGTGACGTCAGTTGTTGCGTCAGACTTACAAGATAAAAGTCTTCTTGGCAAAAAAAATTGTTCCTCACTGTCGTATTCTTTTGTTCCTTAGGCCTTAGAAAATCAAATTGTCTTGGCAAACGAATTCTTCCTTAGTTCTTTCCTAAATCATTACAGCCAACAAACAATATTTCCTCTCAGTAGTATTAGATTACTCAAATAAACTTTGTCTTGGTAAAACTTATCCACCACATGCACATGTATCCTAAATGCAACTAAATGCATCTAAAATGCTAAAGCAATGGCTTTTAGACATTCAATAACTTAAGTAAAAAGACACAAAACACAATTTTTTTATGGAGTTATCAAGAAGGTATTTGAAATTAAGCTCGGTTATGGCGGAAATAGAAGGCATACACTCGCCCCTAAGGGGTAAAGACTCAAAGAATTGCGAGTAATGATGCCAAAGGTTTTGGCGACCCATTTCATTAAAGTACGAGTTTTGAATGGTAAGCTCATTTGGGTTAGGAACGTGACTGGGATTAGGATTTGGAGGAGGAGGGTGGGATCAAGAAGAACGGGCTTGTTTAGACATATTGGGATAAAATAAGGATAAGAAAACCTGCAAAATGACACAATATATATACATATGCTAACATCAATTCCCAAAACTCAAAAGAGACCACAATAATTAAGGTAATGAAAATTAAATAAAATTTATGGGCTTAATGAGTTTTAAATACATGTATGAGTTATCAATAGATAAATATAGAATTATAAATGTGTATATATATAAACGTATGTAAGCTAAATAATTATAAAATATGTATAAATTTTGAAATCAAATTATCCATATAAATATGAATATGTAAAATATATGTAAGAAATTAACAATAAGATTCAAAATATATAATTTTTTTAATTTGAAATAAATAAATAAAATAGTGAAATTTGTGCAAATCCAAACATGTTAGAGTTTGAAATCATCTAAATACTAAATCCCAATATGTATTTCAAACTAATTTACAAAAAAAATTGAAAAATAAAAGTTAGGGTTTGAAAGGGATTTTACCTTGAATCATTGAAATGAGAATAAATTAGTGATGCTGGCACAATTTTAATGAAGTTTGCAGGGTAATAGATTGAAGAACGGAGCGATTCCAACCCAAAACCGATGAAAAAGATGAAATTTTGAGAATAAAAGCAAGGGTTATCGATGGCGACAAAGGAAAAAAATTATGGATTTTGAAATTTTGGGAATTGTTTAGGATTATAGCGTGTCACAGACCCTGTGTATCGGTACTCAATTAAATGAGTATCGGTACTCAATTAAATGAGTATCGGTACTCAATTAAATGAGTTTCGGTACTCAATTAAATGAGTTTCGGTACTCAATTAAATGAGTAGTACTCGTATGCTAAATTGGATAGTATCGATATAGAGTATAGATACTCCTAGTGATACTATAAGAACAATATCGGTACTTGACGAACAACATCGATACTGATGAAGAACTGTATCGGTACTATTTGAACAATGTCGATACAAAATGCACAAAATGATAAAAAAAATTGTAGCAAATAAGGCCTAATATGTCAATTTTATCACAAATTAAGCACATTCAACATAATTGACCATATGAGACATAAATTATGACCTAGATACAAACATTCATTCACTTATACAAGGTTTAACAACAAAAACACATGAATTCTAAAGTTGTATGAAATTCTAGTTGAAGTCACCAAATGGTCAAAAGTCATAATGCATACTTTAAGGCATCAAAATTGGTATATGCAACTCTAAATAGACAAGGAAGACATGTTCAACCAAACAAATGCATAGTTCAGCATTCTTTGAAACTTTTATCATTTTTAATGAAAAATACTAAACTCCCCCTAACTGATTGCATGGTAGGCATAAAAAAAAATTATTTAGCATGTTTTTTCATAAAATCATAAAAGTGCATAAAATATTTAAACACAAAGTCAATGTAGGTTTGTCAAACCTAATTCTCTCCTAAGTGCCCAAAATCTTTCCTTATCTAAAGGTTTTTAAAGATATCCGCTACTTGATGCAAAATGTCTACATACTCTAGAACTATATCTTCCTTTGAGACATAATCTCTAATGAAATAATGTCTAATTTCAATATGTTGGATTCTAGAATATTGGATTGGATTTTTGGTAAGACAAATAGCAATAGTATTGTCACACTTGATAGGAATAATACCTACATCAATTCCTTAGTCTATTAGTTGTTTCATCCATAAAACTTAAGCACGACAACTACCGGTCGAAATGTAATCCGCCTCAGTAGTTGATAATGCTACAATATTTTGTTTCTTTGAAAACTAAGAAATCAACATACTACCTAGGAATTGGCAAGTACCGGAGGTTCTTTTCCTATCTAATTTACAACTTCCATAATTCGAATATGAGTAGACATGCAAATAAAAGTTAGATTCTCTAGGATACCAAAGTCCTATACTAGGAGTGTCTCTAAAGTATCTAAAGATTCTCTTAATCGCTTCTAAATGAGATTCCTTAGGACATGATTGAGAACTAGCACATAAGCAAACACTAAACATGATATCTAGTCTATTTGCGGTAAGATAAAACACTCTCTCGGGCCAATTTTGTTTTTTTTTTTTTGAAAATTTTAAGGGTTTAAAATTAAAATTTTTAAATTTTTGGGTGGACTATGTACCCACATGTCCCCAGTATGTTTCATCGTTGTATATTATAAAATATAATACTATATATATATATATATATATATATATAATATTGTATAATATATAATATTGTATAATATATAATATGTATATTATATGACAGTATACATATAT